TGGCCCTTCACGGTTTTGCTCATGACATCATTGAGGTGCTCAAGCTCCAGCGCCCCGACAAGGCGGTGATCCGAGCACTAGCCCTAAAACTGAGGGAAAGGGGATCGTGGAAACCTGCCCATTGCGGCCAATGGGCTGAAAATATTCATTTTTTTCAGATCTTGAATAGAAAAGCTCATTTGGAAAGGTGCCTATTTTCAGGAAAAGTGCTCAAAAACAAAAATGTGGCCTTACGAATGAAACAAACAAGTGTACCTTCAATTTTGAATTCTTGTAATTATCTGTGTAAGTTATCTGGAAATTTATGAAGTTCATGGTCAGGCAATTCCTGCATTAAAACCAAGTTTTTTTAATCATGTATGTTAAATTAGGGTTCTTTTAAAAGCCATAGTTGCCAAAATATTAAGCTTTAGCTTAAGAGTAACACCTTTCTTCCTTATAAATGCACCTGTTTCAATGGAAAATTGGTTTTATGTATTTTGAGCTCTTTCTTCACATGCATAGCACACTCTGATTAAGGATCAAATGCCTTTCTTCAAAGCTTAAAATTTCCCAAAGTGGTTCAGTCTCACATGAAAATGCATGCACACAAGTCAGTAAAAGCCTAGTTTTGTTTTGCTGGACAAATAGTTGTTAATGAGAAATTCTCACATCTGCTGTAGAAGTTTTTTTTTTTAAAAAAAATCTGTATACTTTTATAAAAATAATTACTAATTGGCAATGCTCAGTGAGACTTAATTCAGAGCAGATTTATATATTTGTATAGGATTGCACTACAATACTACAAACATGCATATTTACAAATATGTTTCAAATTACAATTGATTTCCAGCTAATCACCTAATACTCAAATTATATGCCCAATTTCCTTGCACTCAATGAAAGTTACATTTGAGCACTGGGAGTTATATTTGAAAGAAAAAACTTGTTTGGCCTTGCTGAGTCCAGTAGATTTTAGAGAAAGTTAGATATATGTTGTGTTTAAATGTTCTTTGTGTAACAGTCCGGTTATATAGAAAAGTATTTTTGCTAACTCAAGAAATGTCAACTGTTGATATATTGAATGTGAAGAAGAAGACCATTCAGTGCAACATACAGTAAAAGCCATATGTTATGGATAAAATAGGATAAACATAAAGATTTTTTAAGAAATAAAATAGAAACTATTAATAAGCATCTGAAAACTTGTCTCTTCATTTACCTGTGGGTTTTAAATGTTCCCAAGGAAGAAGAGATAAGGGGAAGAAAAAA